CTTGATGTCGTCTGGCAGTGGTGCTTTTTGTAGGCGCAAGGCAATCTTGCGAAGCTTGGTTCGAAGCCGTGCTTCATTTCCTTCCTTGGTGATCGGCATGGGAGCTTCAACCTTCTTCGGAGTGCGATCGAACTGCTCCCCTTCGTTTTCACAGTCGCTGTCATCATCACTGTCATTCTCCGTTGCCAGGTACGAGTCGATTGGAATTGGTGGGTGCATGAACTCATGTTCGTGGAAGGTGACGTGGACGCCGGTGGTGACCTTATTGTCCTCGAGGTCGAATAAACGGTAAGCCTTGATGTCCTCTGCATACCCGATGAACACACACTTATGTGCCTTGGGTGCGAGTTTATCGCGCTTTGACGGCTCTTTTATCATGTTGTAGGCGACACAGCCGAAGACCTTGAGGTTGGCCAGGTTCGGCTTGTGGCCGGTCATTTCCTCGATCGGCGTCATGGAGTCCTTGGTGTTGTGGACGATGCGGTTCTGGATGAAGATGGCCGTGTTGACCGCTTCCCCCCACCATCTACGGGCCAGGCCGGATCGAGCCATCATGGACATCGCCATTTCCATGACCGTGCGGTGTGATCGCTCGGCAATACCATTTTGCCATTGATTGTCGGGTTGGGACCGCTCGTGGTGGATACCTTGGGACTTGAGCCAGTCGCGGAAGTCGTGAGAGATGTATTCCGATCCACTATCGGTACGTAGTTGTTTGACTTTTCGTCCTGTTTGGCGTTCACTCCATGCTAGGACTTCCTTGAAGTTCTCTTCTTGCATGGCCGCGTCAGTCGACTTGACAAAACGAGCGATTTTGTAGCCCGAGGCGACGTCGATATATACGGTATAGTACTTACAGCCCCCCACAGTTTCAGTTCGCATTGGTCCTTTCGTATCACTGACCCAGCACTCCCCAGTTTTGTAGGTACGGGTGCTGGACTTGGGCGCTGTCGCCTTGTGCATCTTCGACACGACACAGGCGGGACAAGGTGTGTTGAGGGTGCCAGCAAGGTCGGTTGGCAGGCCAAGTTGGAGCGTGGAGCAGTGCTTGAGTGTGGAAAGTGGTACGTGACCCACTCGTTCATGCCACAGTGTTGACTTGTCCGAGTTTGAGATAGGAGAAGTGGTCGACGTCGCGCTGGTGGCCGAAGTCGGCATGGACATCGTGCCGTTGAGGACATAAACGTTCGCCGGCATTTCAAGGGTGCCAGTGGCGATGGCGGTCGAGCCGACCGCGATGGAGCACTTGCCTTGGCCGAACGAAACCGTGCAAGCAGCGTTGCGGCGGCAGAGCGCTGGGACCGACACCAGAGTCATGGGCATGCCATCGATGATCAACACTTCGGTAAGGGTCATCTTTGCTCCATTTTGCATGTCAATGTCTAATTTGCCCATTGTAGTTGCATTGGCGACCTCGCCGTTAGCGACAATGATGGTTCGGTCGCAGGCAGCGACATCATACAAGTGGTCTTTGGCGCCAGTCATGTGAGATGAGGCCCCCGAGTCGATGATGATCTTTTCTGTGGCTTTGGCTGCGCTTAGACTGAGACCCGGGGCCTCCATCCCAGCAAACAAATACACCGTGTGATTGGGTGCGGCGCCAACAGACTCGTTGCCTGGGGCTCTTGATGGCATTGCCGTTGGTGGATCGCCTCGTTGTCGGGCGTGGCACTCGGCCTTCCAGTGTCCAACTTTGCCGCAGTGGTGGCAAGTGCCTTCACGCTTTTGGGAACGGCTGGCGCCTCGGCCAGCTTTTGGTGGATCACGACCGCGTCCACGGCCGCCTCGGTTGCGACCGCTGTCCAAGGCACCAAGCGCTCGTGTTACATCGTTGCCAGGAGCTTGAAGTGCGCCGTTTGCCACAGCGGCTTTGTACTCGGCTTCCAAGAGCGATCGAGCAACACTAAGCGTTTGTAATCTTTCATCCATCAAATTGATCTGATGAAGTACAATACGTAGTGTCGGTGTGAAGCCACCTCCAACATTAGGGTGGAATCCAGATAGGACAATTTACAGTTAATTTGGAAATCCATAAAAATATTTCCCAGAGTACGGGACAATTCTGATTTGCTGTACTGTTATACTGTACCCAGTTCGGGAATTACAGTACTAGCTAGTACTGAAGTCGGAAAACTGCAACTGGAAGCAATGTCGGAAGTGATGTTGATGTGACTATGTTGACCGTGACCATCGCACGCAATGCGACCGTGCTCGCACTGAAGAAGGCCATTGTCAATGAGACGAAGCTCGTCAACGATCGCTTCAACGTTGACCCAGCTACTTTGCGGCTTTACCTGACACGAAAGAACTCCGAATGGCTCACGTACAATCCCCACGTGGATGCCATTTTACGAAATGATGCAGGTGCCGACTACGAGGAGATTCGGTCGTCGTGGACTCTCTCTGGATGAGGACGAGTATGTATTTCGGAGTGAAGTCGCCGCCACCAGCACCCAAGAAGATCCATGTGTTGATCGAACTTCCTGCGGTTGGAGTGGGCAATCCCAATGCAGTGTCCAACACCGACAAACTGGAAGAACTGATTAAACTGGCCATCTACTAAACCTTGGATAAGAGACATACAAAGCGGCCTGCTTACGCGATATCCGACCTCAGTTCTGACCAAGCAGACCGAATCTTGAAGAAGATGCGACTACAAGACGCTCACCTGGACGTCCACGAACCCGTCGAGTTATCCATCGCTGGGTATCTATGAACGAGAGCGAGAAGAGTCAGGGGGCTGGTTGCATGGAGTACTGGCAAGAGCATTTGAAGGTGCTGGTGGGCGGTGACAAGTAGCAATATCAATTGGTAGATGTCACCGATGATTAGTCGCTAGTGAACATCGTGGACCCCCTACTCCCGTTCCGACTCAACAGCATAGCGCATATGTTGCTCGTGAAACGAAGAACCCACACTTCGCCTTGGTTGTGATTGAGCTCAAGATAAAAGTCCGAATAGCAGTGCAGGGGGGACTTGATACTGGCACTCGTAAGTTGACCCAACGCTTGATCTGCAATGTGAAGGTTGATGAGTTTCATTATGGCCTGAACAATCGCTGGGAGTTTACCTGGTTCAACGATGACGACCACGTGATGGGCAGTGTTGTGCCGACATACCCGAAGAACGCGTTGGACGTCATCGTGGCAACCGTGGCAGAGAAGAGTCATTAGTCATTTACGGTGCCCTTCATTGGACAACAGTTAAAAACGCTTTGGGTGAACGACCTCTTGCCTCTGCCGAGCGATGATGAGTCATGGCTCATCACGGCCAGAAAGTAGGCCAAACTGGCGGGGAGTTACTCGGGCAGCTTGGCCCGTACACTGTTCTAACGTTAGTATACATTTGGTACTGAAGTTTGTCTTAACCAAATTCAACGATTCAACAACTAAAGGTGACGTGCATTACGGTAACGTTAGCTCCACATACGCATTGGAGCGGTGAGCTTACTACTACAGCACATAGAAATCACTGCACATTGTTTAACATTGCGCTTTGGTCGTCGTGGGGGTGGGCGCGACCGTGGTCGTAGCCTTGGTGGTAGTGGGGGTCAGGGTTACCGTGGTAGGCGCAGGGGTAACAGTGGTAGGGACAGGGGTCGCCTTGGTGGTGGTAGGGGTAGCCGTGGTGGTTGTAGGGGTGAGAGTGGTGGGGGCAGGGGTCGCTTTGGTGGTTGTAGGGGTAACCGTGGTAGGGGCAGGGGTAACTGTGGTAGTGGTAGGGGTTACAGTAGTAGCTGGGGGAGTGTAGTCGACGTTGAACGTGCGTTCGGCACGAGTGACGCCCTTGGAGTCGACGCGGATGGTGGGAGTGGTAAAGTTGACTTTGACCGTCCACTGCTTGGCGGCGCCAGATACGGTGGACACGTCAATGTTGAACTGGTCGCGGAACGTCGAGACTTCGTTGCCGTTGTTGAACCACTGGACCGAGTACCGCTCGTTGGGGATGGGATTGGGGCGGAGTTGGCCCAGCGGGATGACCTTGAGCGCGACGTCCTTACCAGTCACAACGACGTCTTCGACAAACGAAATGCGCGTCAGGAACTGCAGCCACATGTTTTCCTGGCACGGCGTGCAAAACTGGGGCGACGTCATATTACGCATGAGGCACTTTTCGTTGTCGGGGCGGTACGAGAGGCGCTTGTTGATGTCCCACGTGGGGTAGAACCCGATGTGGTCGTTGTCGTCGAGTTTAAACTCGTCTTCGCCGGCGTATTCGTAGATCACGGCGTTACACAGCTGCTTGATTATCGGGCTGTCGAACGACCCGCCCGCGGTGATGTTGAGCACGTGGTCGCCGGCAGGGAACCCCGCGTCCGAGCTGCGCCACGAATAAAACGTGCGGTCCTTGACGCCCTTGGTAGTCCACGCCAGCGGCTCGCCGTTCAACGTGATCGACAGCGCATCGTTCGTGTCGGCGCCGGACACGGACAGTTGGATGTACCATCGCTTGAACGCGCCGTTCGACGTAAACTTGATCTGGTACGAGCCCTTCTGGAGATCGTACCAGATGTGCTTTTGGAACCTCTGGACGGCCTTCTCCTCGCGGATCACATCCGGGTTGGTCAGCCAATGCGTCCACGGTGCCACGTTGATCGACGTGGCCGCGTTGGCGCCTCGGTACACTTGGCCGCCGTCGTACTCTTCACCGACTCGGCCAAAGTTGTGGCCCATCTCGTGGCGCAGCACCACCGTGCCCGACGTGACCGAGCTTGTCGCGACGACGAACTCCCCCCCAAGACCCCCGTAGAACGCGTCGTTCCCGATCAACGACGGAAAGTCGCACGCGAACTCCCCCACGGTTTTGCACACATCGCGGGCGTATTGCGGCTTGTTGGGGTACACGCCGCGCAGCTCGGTGCCGTCGCGGTACAGTTGAAAGGCAGTGTTGCGAGGTTTGCCACCCACGCCGATGCCCGAGTCCACCGACGGCACATGCACCGCCCATACGTTAAAGAGAGAGGGAGGTACTGGGTGAACGTGTCCCCGGTGAACATGTCGTCGGTCAGGCGTTGGATGTCCTTGAAGAACAACGCCTCATCCGACGCCTGGTACCCGTCGCCCATAAATACAATGTCAATGCGGTTCTTGGGGGGGCCCGAGTCGACGATCTTCTTGATCACGGTGGTCACGGCAGAGGTCGAGGTGGCTTCGGCGTTGTGGCGCAGTGCGCCGGACGGACACCGCTTGGCCAGCTGGCCCAGCACGGCGTCGACGCTTCCCCCGATGATTTCCACGAACTCTTGGGCGCCTTCCTCCGAGTTCCGGAGCAGGTCCAAGTCGTTGAGGTGGCTTTTGCGCTTCGTTGTGAGCTCAATGAACGAGTCCGGGTGCTCCACGCTGCGGTGGAGCTGGGCCACGTGGACGGAATCGATGAGTTCGCATTCGAACGTGTTGGTGTCCACGAGGATTTTGGCCGAGTACGTGTCCAAGGCGGCAACGACGGTCGCGCCAACCAGCAAGAGGGAGCGGACGATCTTCATGTGTCTCGAAGCTCGAGGGTTTGAAAATGACAAGGGTGCCGGCAGTGGTAGGTCAAGAATCCGAGGGGATCATGTATCTGGGCGGCATGAACATGCTGGGCCAAACGAAAGTTCCCACCACCTGAGATATGGCGGCACGTACAGAAAAATACAATGGATTGTATTGTGCCTTCGATACAAATTTCCAGACGACCACCCGTGTCTGGGAATTTTATAGCGAATACTACACGACACCCCTGTTGTATAATAGTACAATACAGTAATAACTCATGGTTCTGGAGTACATACAAACTCGTATAACTTGTTATTATGTATGAACGGTGAGGGATTGTTTCTGAAATCCAGATGTTGCTGCCTGGTGTTTTATTGGAATAATTCCCTCATTAAATCAGTAGCACTGTTGTTTTGACCTGAAATACTGTTTCAATGAGGGAATTACAGTACTATATACACTACACCTTTTCGCCAGTAGCCCTGTAACCGGGGTAACTGCATCGCTAGTGGTTAGCTATCGCTAACCACTGAGATGCACATAACCCCTAGTAAGAGGTGAGTCTGGTCTGAGCATACAAAGTTCCATGTAAACCTCATTGAAACAGTATTTCGGGTGAAAACAAGAGTGGAACTGTTATAATGAGGGAATTGTACTGTTTTCGTGACCTGTGTCATTTTCCTACAATTTTAACGTCAAAATGTACTACTATACCACGTATCACGCAATACAGTAACGTCGGCAAGTTACAGTGATTAATTGAGTTTGGAGTATGCCGCGCAACCCGAGACTCTGAGTCTCGGGTTGAAATTGTCAACCCTGAACGAAGTCAACCCAGAATGCAACCGGATTTCGGATAAATCAACCAATCAAATTTAAGTCGTTCAGGGTAAATTTGTTTCAGGGTTCGTTCAGGGTAGTTCCCCGACCAGGGCCTAAGACATTCCTCCGCGAGGGCTGATACTAGAACCACATGTTATGGAACTGCTTCGCCAATTGTAACGCACCTGCTCGATCAGGGACGGTGTGTAATCTTCGGTTTTTACTTCGCTCAACGCTTCATATGGTGCAAGTCAGCTAAAGACTGCAAAAATATGGGGTCGTTCTTAGTGACTACTACGTAGTATTACCGTACGTCTAGGATTTATGAAAACCACGCATTCAAAGCCATAAGATCCATAGAGGGGCGTCTAAGGATGAAATGTTACGGCGTAGAT